GCAGCCAGGCTTAGCACCAGCCAGGGGTAGCAGCAGCTGCACGCAGGGCGGCAGCAGCCTAGGCAGCTGCAGCCAAGCAGCACCTACTAGACTCAGCAGTAGCCTAGGGAACTGCAACTAGGGCAGCATCACCTAGGGCATCAGCAGCCCAGGCAGCTGCAGCTAAGCTCAACATAATCCAAGCTCGGTAGTAGCAGGCGAAAGAGCTGCAGCCAGGGTAGCACCACCTAGGGCAGCAGCATCCCAAGCAGCAATAGCCCTGGCTGCATATGCCTTAGTTGCTGCAATCGTGCTGTATATGCTCAGGCACCTGCCTTAGGTGTTTATTTCCCCGGTTTAAATTTTTGTAAGAAAAAAAAATGAGTTTGTTTACAAATAAATTTGAAAATAAAATGACAAGTATAAATAAAATAACAAAGAATGCATACCTCTTCAAGTTGTTGACCTTCTGTGCAACAATTGATTATGTCAAACATGAATCTCATCACGTAGAGGCCACATTTAACTCTGTTATCTTGTTGCGTACATTGACATAGCAAAAAGGTATTCTAATCATGCATAGCCATATCATATGTCAAGTTTACTAAACAAATCACTAAATCAGGGCATTACCTCACAGATTTCCACTTAGGTCATGCGGCATCACGACAATTTATCTTCTTCAAAGCACTATAGGAAAATTAGTTCAAATTAAGAAGTATAACTATTCAATGAATTAGGTTAAGACAATAAACACTAAGAGGCTATACGTACCTTTGCATTATTGACTTCACTAGCAATTTTCGTGGTGGATTCCTTCGAGCTGAATCAAATTGGTAGATTGTGTTTTTCTTAACACAAATCACCAAAAGGCTCCAATGAGCGCTACAATAATTCACAACAGACAAATATCACTCACTTACAAGTTAACATATAAACATACCAAACAAGTAAATTATGACATATTTAGACGTACTTCTCAAAACATGGGGCAAGTAAGAAGTTGTCTCCCGCACGCATTGATTCTCTAATACCATGTAAAACGTAATCCAACACTTCCGTCGGGTTGGCTAAAACTTTGGTATCGAAAGTTTGCTCGGGGCATAACCACCCAACTCGTAAAACAGAATCGCATCCACTCAGATGCTCCTGTAGTGACCTGCATGCATCAGAGTACCATCACATGTATTTGTTAATCAAACAACAATATAACTTACAATAGTGGCATTTAATTACCTCATGAAACCTTGAATGATGGAAATGTTAAGCATTGAACCACTTAAAAAGTCCTTCACATCGATTCTAGTAATCCACACAGTTGCATCCTCATCATAGTGGAACAATTCCTTAGGTAAATTCACTTCAATGTTTTTATCACTAGGCAACTCACTAACACGCTTGTGCAGAAAAGTACAATCCTTAGAGAGCGACAGAAGGACATTGTCGTCTACTAGTAGGGTAGCTAACAAGGCAGAACCTCTTGAAGAGTTCTTCTTCGATAGTTGGTCACTCCTCGACCCTTGTTCTATGCTCTTCTTCGGAACATCGACTTCCTTGTTTTTTTGCTTCTCCACCTTCTTCTTTTTATTAGTGTGGCTTTCCTTCGCACTCTACTTACAAAAGAATTTCATTAGGGGTACGCGGTTATTTAGATAGAATAGAACAAGCATGTGGTCATATTAGTAGCAATTTTTGACATGTTTGAAAAAGAAAGTGTATACTTACCCCTTCTATTATCAACCTCACCCAATCACGTGGCCATTGCACATAGTTACCTATCGCCTCAATCAATTTAAACATCTCATATTCCTCTAAAGGAACCGATAGTAGGATGTCCTCAAAGCCCTCTACTACAGAATTAATCGCGACAAAGCAATATTGGGGACTAGTATTACACTTGAAATGGACCTTATCACACAGTTTTGCACTACCATACGCCACCAACTTCAAGTCTCCACCATCCGATTCCCCATGGTGAAAAAGCGCACAAGGTGTCTCTTCCTACACATTTAACAAACATGAGTTATGAGCTAACCAGCGTAAAAAAAATAGAAGCATATTTGATTAAATAATGAAGTTCATCCGTTCATCTCGAATAGGATTACGTGTCGTATTTGCAATCTGATGTATGCATTTTATACGATGTTTTACCCCGGTTTTATAGCGTATATTTGCATGGTTTTGGGGTCTACGGAGCCATTTCTCGCTAACAATCTCTTCTCTAGTGTGTTCGATCTATTTTATTGAGTTTCACAGGAATACGGAGTTTCTTGGATGAATCAGACTTGTTTTGGATGGTTATAGAGAGGTTGTTGAGTGAAAGATGAAGATTTCCTCAATTCCCTATTGGGCATAGCTTGCCCGGGCAGACCGGGCAAAAGAAGAGAAGAAGAACAACGCAGGAGAAGAAGTCGTACTTTGTCCACCCGATCGGGCAGCCCTTGCCCGGTCAGACCGGGCACCGTTGCGCGGAAGTCGTTTTACTTAATTTCGAATTTCTATCTTTTTAAGGGTATAAATACCCTTTTGTAATCATTTGGAGGGGAGATTAATATATCCTCTAGTATTAGTTTTACCTAAAAACCCTAGTTTACTCTCTCTAAGCATTTAATTTCTACTCTTAGTTTGATTTATTGTTCATCAACAATTCGAGTTCTTTCGATTGAAGCAATTGGTATTCATCTATTTCACTTCTCTTTTATTTATTATTGCTTATTGATTATGTCCTCTCTATTGAATCTTGTTATTGGTTTTGCTAGTATGTGTGAGTAGATTCATAATCCGGGATCTTGCAAAGCCCGGATATGATTAATGCTTAGATTGAATCTTTAAATTCTCCAATAATAATCCCAATTGACATGCTTAATTGATTGTATTTATGCCAATACTAGATTAGGAATAATTAGTATTGTTATCATCCCTTTGTTCTTATTGCAACGGAAGTTAGGTATTAACGGGATTTGGGTATTTCAATTAAGGGTTTGAGATCATCACGGAAGTAGATGATTGAATGATTAGGAAGTTGAGTATTGTGTTTAATGTCCTTTGTTTGCTTGATTCCATGGAAATAGGCATGATAGTTGATTTGGGAAGCCATTGATAACTCGGAAGAGACCTTTGGTATTGTTTAGGGAATGCTTTTACTCTTGTCAATTGATTTGTTATCGGGGGTAGATTTATTAATGTATTGATTATATTCGTGGTAATGCTTGATCTTGGATGTTTTAGTTCATTGATTTATCACTCTATTTAGATTAATTGTGCCATTTAGATATATTAGTTATTAGTGTTCTTCACTATTGATTAGTCACTTGCTTAGTGATTGCTTGAGTCTAATTAATTAGGTGAACCTTAGTCTCTTGGGATTCGACCCTTACTTGCCCGTCTACATAGTAGTGGTCTTGTTTGGTTTATTTTTGTTAGGTACGCGACACACCTATCAAATTTTGGCGCCGTTGCCGGGGACTAACGGTTTTTATCTAGTTATTTGTGATTCGTTTTTACTAAGCTTTTGATTTGTTGCTTCGGCTATTGTCCCTTGTATTTTTGATCTCCTTTTTTTAGTTCTTTGTTGCATGCAAACTCGACATTCAGGTTTAGACACCTTAACACCTTTTAACTCTGAAATCGAAGCTACTGCAAGGAGACAACAGGTAGAAGAAGGAGATATCAAAATACAAGAAAAATGACCGAAGGAATCAAATCTTTATTGGAGTACGACATTCCTGATACCGCAACCAGGCTCTTATCCAGCATTGTCAGACCATCGATTACCGCTCAGAGCTTTGAATTAATACCTCAATTCATATAGTTCATCTCTAATGACTCATTTGCAGGCACACCTCATGAATGCCCTGTTAGTCACATAGACAGTTTCTTGGAAAAATTTGACACCATAAAGCTCAACGGTGTTACTGATGATGCTATCAGACTTCGTTTGTTCCCTTTTTCACTACGGGATAGAGCGAAGGAATGGTTACGAGACAAAGGTATGGGTTCCTTTGATACATGGGATAAGCTTGCAAAAGCTTTATTAGTAAGATTTTTTAGGGCAAGAGAAGACTGCAAGGTTAAGGAACGAGCTAGCTACCTTTCGTCAATCTGATGATGAGTCTTTATATGAGGCATGGAGAAGATTCAGGCGCTTGCAGAGACAATGCCCTCATCACGATAACCTAGAGTGGATGTTGATCCAAACATTCTACAATGGTCTGACCCATGAGTTCCGCATATACATTGATGCTGCATCCGAGGGTTCTCTCATGACTAAGAACCCAACTGAAGCCAAAGAGCTAATTGAGAAGATGGCAGCCAATGATAATTATCATCCAGGGGGTAGAAATACTGTGAAGACTAGAGGAAAATTTGATGTTGATGCTTTAACTCTCTTGACAAGTTCTATACAAGCATTAACAAGCAAGTTTGATAAACTCTAAGCTGGATCCTCTTCCACTTCATTCGAAACATGTCAATTATGTGGTATTCAAGGCCACATTGCATCACAATGTGAACCTCCCTCTGACGAAATGTCAATCGAGCAAGCAAATGCCTTCTATACTACGGCACCTAAAAGGCCGTATGATCCTCATGCAAACACATACAATGAAGGGTGGAGAAATCATCCGGACTTCCCTTATAAGAACACTCAAGCTCAATTGTATTCTCCGTCACCACCACCTAGTTTTCAAGCAAGGGAATCTTTTAATCACCAACCCATGAATCAACAAATTCAACCGCAAACTTCAAAATACAATCTTGATTCCATTATGAAGACTTTCACTACTTCCCAACTTCGACATCAAGAGCTTATGACAAAGCAATTTGAGCTACAAGCAAAGCAAAATGAACACTTTGAAAGCTCGATTCAAATGCTTATTGCTCAAAATAAGAGGATAGAAACCCACCTTTCTCAACTTTCACAACAAGTGAGTCATTTATCAACTCTTCATGATCAAGCAAAAGTCCAAAAGGAACAATGCAATGCAATTTTCTTGAAAAGAGATTAATTATTTTCGAGGAAAATGGATGAGAAAGTGTGCAGTGTGGAGTCAAGAAAAGATGAAAAGGGTGAGGATGTAAAAATTCTCAAATATGTTGCTCCACTGGCTTATGAGGAATTGATGCCCTTCCCGCAAAGGTTGTCAAAAGCCGTGCTCGATAAACATTTTGGGAAATACTGCGAGACTCTTAAGAAGGTATATGCTTCCATTCCTTTTTCAGATCTTTTAATTCAAATGCCTCAATTTGCAAAATTTGTGAAGAATATTAAAGATCAACATGATGATAAGGAAGTAATAAATGAGAAATGCTCTACCCTTTTAAGTGATAGCCTACCACCTAAGCTGCATGATCCTGGTAGTTTTACTATTCCCTGTATGATAAACGAAATATTTTTTGACAGGGTTTTGTGTGATTTAGGTGCTAGTGTTAATTTAATGCCTTATTCATTATATGAAAAATTAGGTTTGCAAAAACTTAAACCTTCCCCTATTTTTCTTCAAATGGCTGATAGGACTGCTAGACTCCCTAAGGGTGTGGTTGAAGATGTATTAGTTAAGGTTGGTGAACTTGTTTTTCCGGTTGATTTTGTTGTTATGGATATGAAGAAGACCATAAGTTCCCGATTATATTTGTTCGTCCATTCCTTGCCACAAGTCAAGCTCTAATAGATGTTCCTAAAAGACAAGTGACCATTAGGGCCCAGAATAAACAAGTAATGTTTAAGCTCTTTAATGAACATAATTTTATATTTGATGGTGGTACTTGTTTAAGAATTAATACTACTAACCCTTTGGTTGATAAGTGTGTATTTGATAGAAATCTTGTGCGAAACGAGGACAATATTCCACCAAATGATATGTTTAGCTACATGAAGGTAAGTTCGGATACAAAGCATGTCAATTACGAAATGAAAGAGTCATTTGGAGGCAGATATTTTCATGGGCAACATCGCGGAGTTTCTTCTTTGTGTGGTGACTAAGGTTGAGCTAATAAAGAAGGTCAAGCTTAAGACCTTGATAAACTAGCGCTTTGCGGGAGGAAACCCGTATTTTATTGTTTTTATTTTAGTCTTTTCTAATTTTTGTGTGGGTAGCTTGTATTCTGGGGGAATCCATTCATTTAGTCAGTTCATAACAATCTCTGTAAAGCAAGGGGCAAAGCTTCGTAGACAGCTTCCCTCTCATTTAGTCATCGACCTTCTTCCCTTGCCCCCCTTTCGTCGCTTCTAGAAAAGCTGCGAGCCTACTTAAATAGCTTACGCTTACTAAGCCTAGTCTACTAAAAAAGGGCTATAGCAAGTAAGCTTTCCCCCTTCCATTGTTGTGGGCCGCGTTTTGCCTTACCGTAGGCACTAAATGAAATGAGTGAAGATCTTCCTTCCTCCTTGCTAATTACCAAGAACTTCGTTGCCACTAGTGGCGAAGAAAAATTCTACCATCTTACACAAAAATGACTCGGAGCCGAAAGACTATTCAGTTTACAAGAAGCTGGCAGAGCTTTAGCCATGCCATCAGACCATATCCATCTATGCTACCTAAACAGTCTGCCCTTTCTTGTTCGTTCTTCGAATGACGCTAGTGGAGACTAATTCCTTCTAGCTAATGAAGATACTACTTCATTCTACCCATTCTTTCCCACTGGATCCTTCTTCTCCCTAAGAATTGAACGAACTAAGTTCGCCTATACGAGAGTGATGAATAAAAACCAACAAAAATCTTCCCACCTTTTATGTCCCATGATTCTGCTAGTTTAGAAACGAAGTAGAAGGACGAGGGTCGCTAGGTCAGAAAAGCGATAACTCTAAATTCTCCCCAAGTAGGATTTGAACCTAGGACAAGTCAGTTAACAGCCGACCGCTCTACCACTGAGCTACTGAGGAACAACGGACTTAAGGAAGCCGACTCTCGTTCTTTGAAATAACCTATGACCCAAATGGGTTCGTCACTTTTTTCACATACACCAGGGAAAAGGTTACAATAGCAAGCCTCTCCCCGGCCGGAGAGACTCCAGGACAAGGGGTGGGCAGTCAACCGTCCACTCTCGAGATTCATATTGATCAATCGATCTCTACGTGCTTCCAGTTCGCTAAGTAGACCCACTTTACTGAAGGTAGAACTTTTCCTGCCAAAAACAAGAGATTGACTTCTCATCCTAGGAGTTCGCAAGTATGATAGGGTCCCCTATCTTTCTGTCTCTTCGAGTTTATATTACTAAGTATCTACTATTCAATCATAGAATCGATTTTGATCAATCTGAAAAAGCCCTTTCTATCTTATTAAAGGAATATCTGACCCTGCAATCAAAGTCAAATAGCTTCGAGCCTATCTATATTATAGTAAGGGTACCTTTCAATAAGGTTTGCGCTTTTGACTGCAGCTAGCGCGCCCCCTTTCAATGAGTTTCTCGCTTGTTAGTCAAGCTAAAGCTTGCATAGGATATTAGAAGAAGGGCAGGGTTGGAACCTTATACAAGGTGTTGGTCTCGACCTCGCTCAATGGTGCCCTTGTCGATGATTGTTAACTTAACATTGATTTCGTCCTTGAGTTGGGTTCCAAACCTCCATCCATCGAGTCAAGTAATTCGCTATCGGAAATTGTTCCGTCGCCTATCTCATGTCATGCTTCTTGTTTCTCTGAATTGGTTCCTAGTGTAAGTCAATCAAGATTCACCATTAAGAGAGGGAAGAGCCTTTACTTTAGGTTAGGCCGGTCTCGTCATTCACGCAATTTTCTTGTCCATCGATCGATCGCGCAAGTACGCATCCAATCAGAAAAAAGCATTCATCCTGGATTATTTTCCTGAATCAAAATTTATATCATGATAGCATGCCTAGTTTCTGCTAACCCTTTTTGAGGAAACTTAGAGAGTGCTTGGGAAGTGAGGCTTTCATTAGGTGGCTAACTCTCCCTTATGGTTGACTAGCGTTAAATACTGGTGGCGTGGCACGCGGTACCCCGGGACCTGCTGGTGGTGGGGGAGCGTTAAGGGACTATTCAGGTAAGCTACTATATGCTAATCGTTGAATCTGGGAGCAAGTAACGCCTATATGGCTGGACTGATCAGGGCTCTTGAATACGGTTTGGAGTTGGTTGGACGCTTGAGAATAGCTAAGTTGCAAGTACAGATTGATAACCAATCAGTGGTTTGGCTCTTAATAGTGTGCATATTATCTCAAGGTGATGATCTAGAGAAAAGGTTTTATCAAGGATGATAAACTTAACATTATATATCATAATATCAGGAGCAGTTTTTATATGGTTAATTTTTGGAAATAAAGCAATTTTATCTATAAAAAAACGTTTTTTTTTTTTTTTTTTTTTATCAAGCATCCATACAAAGTTGTAAAAAATCGAAGAAAAAAAACATAGCTAAACTAACAGAGCTTTAATTAATAAAAGACTAGTTTGAATAAATTGAAATTTGTACGTAAATATAATTGCTATTCAATAAAACAATAAATAAAACTCTTAAAAGTATACAACTAAAATTTTAATATCAAGTGATATTATGTCTTCTGGAATAAAATTACATCAAAATTAGTGATTTTTCCACACGATCACCATCTCTTCGATATGCACATTCTTCGTCTCGGGCAATAACTTGTAATCGCCGACACGAAAAACACCAAGAATATGAAGAGACCAAACTTGAAGGCGCATAGCATTGGCAGGAAAGCCTGAGTTATCGCAAAAGTGAAGATCATATTGACTAATACATTGATGCTTTGAGCCGCTAATCTAACCTCAAGCGAGAAGATTTCACTAGGGACGAGCCAGGACCCCATGACCATGCGAACCCGACTAAATAAATGCATATGAATTGTACAGCTGCTATTGTGTACCATTTAGTTAAATCCATTACCGCATTTCCGGTTACCCCAAATTTTCATCCTATAAAAATTATTACTAAATTTTGCAATACATTACCAGAAAATTACCATTTCGTAGCGATTGTTCCAACCTTTGGTATCGATTGTATTTGCTACAAAAAGCTTTCCTAACGAATGGTTATTCGATACAATATCTGCCGTTACCATAGCCTTTAGTAGTGTTTTTCAATATCGTTGGGGTTGTGCTCAATAATCGATACGAAACTACCTCCAATCGTGGTGATTACTGTAGCAATTATAATCGCTATAACATGTTGAACTCATTTTCTTCCAAAAAAGAAAATCACACGTATGTTCTTTACAAGATTCGAACATATGCAACCTTAAGCTCTAATATTAAATATTTTATCAATAAGTTATGACATATTTTATGTATTATTTGTCAAACAATATTTGTATATCTAGTGTGAAAAAGGCTTTTCATATAGATTTTTGGGTTTTAGTGGCGATTGTAAACAATACGATTTTCAATAATTTTATAAATGTGCACAAAAATGGTGGATATGTATTATTATGTTTTTCATATCGATTTTATATAGGGTTACCATGGCGATTGTAAAATGATACGATTTCATCTACAATTTCACAAACATACATGCATATTATAACGAATGTACAATCACTACAATATAATCGCTACGAAAAGACATTTTTATTGTAGTGATACAATATTCTTGAATAAATAAGTTGTACACTCTACCTTAGTGATTTAGAATTAGTTCGCACTTAAGAAAATTTGGGATAAAATTTTATATAGAAAACTTGCACCTACATCTCAGATTTGTTAAAATACGTAATATTTCTATTTGAAAAATAAAGAAAATAAAGAGTCCAAACTTGTAGACACAGCATTAGCAAAAATAAATAAATAAATAAATAATTGGACTATACAAAGGTGAAGATTAATTTGATACTTTGGACGGCCGATTTAACTTCAAAATGGGAAGATTTTGGTAGGGATTAGCAACCTAGAGATCAAAAGAAAAATAAATAAATAAATAAAATCATCTGCATATTAATATATTGCATATGAATAACACAAGTCAATTGCATTTTCGGTTACCCTAAATTTTCCATTTAATGAAGGTTGTTGATAGCATTTTCAAGGCAAATGAAAAAAAAAATATATATATTATTAATTTTTTTTTTTTGAAGGTAAGATACAGGGAAAGAGATTGGGAAAGTCTTCTCACAAGATCGTGCCCTAATCTATCTTGTAGTATAAAATACGAAAACTTGCTATCCATGAACAAATCGATACCTTGGTGGGTCGGAGTAGAATAACCCAAATAGGCCACATAATATATTGCTCTATTTCCTTCACGAAAGATGTGCTGGGAATTGAAGGCCGAAAAGGAATTCAACATAGTCTTGATGTCTTCCATTAAGAGCTGAATCTTCCATGGGCAATTAAAATGACCCTGCAAAATATTAATAACGGTCAAATTATCTCCTTCTATAAAAATATGGGAAATATTGTGATCAGGAGAAGACCATTACGAAGGGCAATTGCCTCAGCAAGAAAAGCTAAGCATGTACCCAAGTTATAAGTACGACTAGCAATATGATTACCAAGGGAATCTCTAATAACAACACCCGCTATAAAAGTGTTATGAGTCGTAGAACCATCAAAATTTAATTTACCGTAACCTATCGGGGGAGGGGACCACGAGACAGTCATTGTAGTTGCCTCCTTTTGATTGGTAGAAGAGAGAGTAGTATTGGATTGGTGAAGGGAATCCAAAAAGTTCCTAGCCTGCCATTCCTAGGAAAGTG